TCACTGAGTGACGAGCGCACACCAAATCTGCAGAAAAACTTTCTGAACCCCCCTAAACCCTAAACCCTAAACCCAAACCCCTAAACCCTAACCCCAAACCCCTAAACCCTAAACTGAACACCCCCCCCCCACACCTACATCCCGAAACCCCCAAGGCCCTAAACCCTGAACCCTAAACCCTGAACTCCAAAGCCTAAACCCTAAACCCCAAACCCTGAACCCTAGAGCCTAAACCCTAAGCCTGAGCCCTAAAGCCTAAAGCCTAAACCCTAAAACCCTAAACCCTAAACCTCCCTACCCTCAACTGGGTGCCGAACGCACAGGCTGACCGCTCGTCTCCTGAAGATTTCCAAGCGAACTTCAGCTTCTCACTTGGGGCCATACCTGGACCCTAAAGAACCTACCTTTTTAGGGTTCCATATTACGATTTCTTTATACAAGTCCTTAAAAAGGTAGGTTATTTGGGGCTAAGGCAATGCTTAGACTAGGGTTCCTTTGTTAGGGTTTAGGGTTTAGGGTTTAGGGCTTCTCACTTAGGGCCTTACCTGGACCCTAAAGAACCTACCTTGTTAGGGTTCCATATTATTATTTGGGGTTAAGGTAATGCTTAGACTTGGGATCTACCATAATAAGGTTCTATCATGTAGGGGCCTGAATACTTAGACTAGGGTTCCTTTGTTAGGCTTTGGGTTTAGGGTTTAGGGTTTAGGATTTAGGGTTTAGGGTTTAGGGTTTAGGGTTTAGGGTTTAGGGTTTAGGGTGTAGGGTTTAGGGTATCCTATAGGCCAGCCAACGGTTAAGCTTCGGGGGATCTTACAGGGAAAAAAGGCCACAGGTTACATGCTCTGCTGCCACGAATATTGGGTTTAGGAAGACAGGGTCTACCCTAAGGCTCATGGACCCCCATAGTGAAAGCCCAAACCTGAGCCCCCGAAGCCCAATCTCCTAGAAAGCCCATAAGAGCCTTAGGGTAGGGTTGGGTTTAGGGTTCAAGCTTTTAGGTTGGAGTCCAGAGCTCAGGATTTTGCGGGATTTCAATAAAAATACGGGACCCCCAAACTGGTATCGGTAATTGTTTCGGCGTCTTTAGCGGCGGTAGCACTAGGAAGCAGGCCTGGAAGCGCAGCGATCGTGCCACCACCGTCTCGATCACCGCGCCACGGTCGTCGTTGAGGAGGTGGACTTCATCGATGATGATAAGCCTGTAGCAGTTAGGATTAGGGGGACCCTTAGGGATACAGACCCTCTGAGTAAGGTCCTGTTTTAAGAGAGCCAGACTAGGTTGGCCCCGCAAAGCCTCTGAAAAATACTCGTAAACAAGATCCTCTTAAGCCCAATAAGGGAAAATATAAAATGCCCCAAAGGCCTCCCTAGCCCCTAAACTTTAAACCCTAGCCCCTAAACCCTAAACCCTAAACCCTAAACCCTAAACCCTAAACCCTAAACCCTAAACCCTCAGAAGTAGGCTTAAGAAGGGGTCCCCTTTAAGGGGTCGCTACCTCGGAGCCTTGCCCTGGCCTCCTGTCATTAACGCACGAAAACCCGACCGAAAGGGATCAGGGTTGAGGGGTTTATAGGGGCTTAGGGGTTTAGGGTTTAGACTCTAGGGTTTAGGGTTTAGGGGTTTAGGGTTTAGGGTTTAGGGTTTAGGGGCTTAGGGGTTGAAGGGTTTAGGGGTTTAGGGGGTTCGGGGTTTAGGGGTTTAGGGGTTTAGGGGTTTTAGGGCTGTAGAGCCGGGGTAAACACACAAGACACGTATTTCAAGAGCTAAACTTGAAGATCAAGTCACCTTTAACAGTTTTGCGCCACATTACCTTGTAGTATGCATACCTACATAGTACTGAAAGCATCATGGGACTTAGTAACAAGGGTTATAAACAATGTAACTATACTTATAACTACTTATAACCCCCATTCAGGTACTTGCCCTAGGACTCTAAGGACTCATATTTAAGGCTTTTGGGCCCAAAGTCCCTATTATATAAGGCTTTCGGGCTATTTTGATGCTAAGGGTTATAGCCTCACCCTAAGGGTCCAAGTACCCAAATAGTAGGGTTTCAAGGTCCAAAAACCATTCAGAGTATGGATTTTGGGCCCTAAAACCTTACTATTTGGGTACTCGGACCCTCTGCGTTACTGACTGAGTCCCATGATCCTAAACCCCTAAGCCCTAAGCCCTAAGCCCTAAACCCTAAACCCTAAACCCTAAACCCTAAACCATATGAACCTGAAGTCCTCTTAGGGCGCACGTCGTTTTGACGCTATTCACCAAGCCTGACCATGACACAAACCTTTAGGGTTCAGGGCCTAGGATTTAGGTTTAGGCTTTAGGGTTCAGGGCCTAGGATTTAGGTTTAGGCTTTAGGGTTCAGGGCCTAGGATTTAGGTTTAGGTTTTAGGGTTTAGGGTTTAGGGTTTCGGGTTTAATTAGGGTTTAGAGTTTAGGGTTTAGGTTTCTTGTGGATTCCCGGCTCAGAGCAGCTTTGGCGTTTGTGTAGACCCAAGCAGTTCTAGGTGCTGTTACCCTAAGGGTCCAAAGGACCTAATAATAAGGAACTTTGGTTGCGGATTGTAGTTTTCTAGGTTAATATTTGGGGAAGTATATGATTATTAGGTACTTGGACCCTTAGGGTTATGGAGAACAAGTTCCAAAATCATAATGGCGATTCCTAAGAAAGAGATCCCTACATTCTACTACATAGGCACTTAGGGCTTAGGACGCTGTAAATAAATCCTACGCCCCAAACCCTTAGAAACCCCAAAACCCTAAACCCTAAACCCTAAACCCCATGACAGGAACCCTTTCAGGGGCCCTTGGAGGAACCCTACAGAGGTCCTTCGGACCCTTCGGGGGAGGGTCCGATTACCCAAAGCGTGGAGCTGTCAGTCCCAAGTACTGCTGAAGCTGTGGTGCTTAACTACCAAACTAGTACCTAAACCCTAAACCCTAAACCCTAAACCCTAAACCCTAAACCCTAAACCCTAGGACCCTAAACCCTAAACCGAGTAAACTGTAAGGTTTCTTACTGGGAAGCGCTATGGTGGTTCGGGAAAGTCTTCCATCATCAAGCCCTTGCAAGCCCAGCAGCAAGCCTACGAAACCCGAGAGCTATACCTGCAACCCGTAAACCCTACAAATGTAGGTTCTGACGCCTTAGTTTTGGCGTATAGCCGTATAGCCCTTGAAACAGTGCGTTTTGGGTACTGCCACCACGCAGTAACAGGCTATAAGGCGGTTACTAGTAAGTGCCTTTTGTACGTGTCTGAAAAATTAGTACGTGTTCAACTGTTACTGACTGGACCCCTAAACCTTACCCCAAGGGTCCAAGTACCTAAAAATCATACACTCTCCAAAATCCTAACAGGCAGAACTACTATCCTAAAACCGAGTACCTCATTCTTGTGTCCTTTGGACCCTTAAGGTTATCAACCCCTAGACCCTAAACAATAAACCCTAAAACCCAAACCCTAAACCCTAAACCCTACCCCCTAAACCCCTAGACGCCTAACCAAAAAACCCTAAACCCTAAAACCCAAACCGCCAGGTGCAGCAACTGACAACTGAGGAGAGGGCTGCACGAGTTTCTGCAAGCTATCATCGCTCCTTGGCCGCGCCGCTGGCAAACTTCAGGGTTTAGGGCTTTAGGGGTGTAGGGTTTTAGGGTTTAGGGTTTAGGGTTTAGGGCTTCAGGGTTTCAGGGTTTAGGGTTTAGGGCTTCAGGGCTTCAGCTTCAGATTCAGTGACCAGGGCTTCAGCATATATACGGGGTGTTAGGGCTGGGGGTTTGGAGTGTGCTATCGGGTCCTACTGTAGTGAGCGGGGGGGCTT